CGGGGTGTTGCGCAGCCGCCATTTTGGGAAGGGCTATGTCCGCCTCAGTGAGTGGAGGCGGCCATGTTAGGAAGGTCAGTTATGGGGAGAGGCGGGAAGCGGCGCCACGTTAGGGAGGTCGTGGCGAAAAGCGCCTCTCCTTTCGGGCCGCCACATGCAAAAGGTCCGCTCCGGCTTTGACGTTTGGAAGCGGGGCAATCGCGGGGCCGACCGCCTAAGGGAGAAGCGAGGACCGTGCCGGAGGCCGGGCGCGAGTCGCCCCCGCCCCAGCGCCCTTCGACGGTTTTCCTCTCCAGGCGCGAGGCCGCAAACGCTCCTAGGGAGGCGGCCTTCGGTTGTACCCGCGGAGACCCAGGCAGGGGTCTTCCGGCCGCAAGATTGCCCCTGCAATACGCTGAGCCTCAAACGAGCAGCGGGGTTCACGCAACGCGGTAACCCACCAAAGCCGACCCAGGTTAGCGTATTGTGTGAATAGCTAGCCCCGCGTTGCAAGCCGCAGCCGGCGCAGCAGCCTCGACTTCTTGCTGGTGTCTAAAAATGTCGATGGCCTTCGTGGTCATTTTACGGTGACCTGGTCTGAGTCTTGAGAACGATGCTTTACAGTGTTTTTACACCGCAGCTTTTCACCTCGCCAAACCCGGTGGGGTTTCACGGGAAGCATCTCAGCGAAGGGCTGCCCGAGTCTCTTCACCCTGCGGCCCCCCGGGGTCATCTTGACGCTCACCTGGCCTTCCCGAAATCGCTGCCCTCTGGATGGGAAGGACTGCCATTCCCATAATCCCCGGTGAGCACAGCCAAAATCCCAGTTGCGATTTATGAAGACAGAACTTCGAGGCTGCGGGAACTGGGAAACGTGGGACGCGCGTTCGATGGACCCGCGCCCTAATTTCTAGAGGCACCTGAACAGCAGTGAAGCTGCGCTGTCTGTCTGGGTGGCAGCCCAGTCAAGCTAGCAATTGGCTGGGAGGGAGGCCACTTTTAGTGGTGCCTCAAAAAGTATATATGCGAATAGGTCTTGTTGACTAAAATAAGTGCACATTTTTATATATAAAGGCCACTTGCTAGCAAGTTGTGCTTACAAATAGGTGTTTTGGCAAGAGATTTCCTTTTTCTTTAAAAATAAAGCCGATCAGGTTGTCAGAAATAACAGTTCTTAATAGTTGGGTTTCTCTCTTCTTGAAGCATTAAACAATATTAAATTCATTAAGAAATGTTACAGCTCAACTTTGTGTCAGGTGTGCTTCTGCGTATTTGTCAGTGCCCAGGTCTATTGGTTACTAGGGCACACTAGTGCCAGGGCAGTCCTGGACCAGAAAGGAGTCCCTGGCGCTGCTCCTCCCCTGCCTCTGTTAGCTAGGCACGTAAGACGCTGCGGGAGGCCCAGCCAGGCTCCTGGTCTGCTCCAGAAGCCTTGAAAAGCATTCAAGCTCCATGCATTAATGAACACTGGCTGAAGTTTTATTACCTCCAAACGGTTTTACATGTAAAAAAAAGTACAATTAGGAAATTAAGTTAACAATGAATAATACCTTAAGTATTTTGCTATCAACTTCTGCATTTTATATTTCTTAAAATTGTCCTGTTCCCAGTTTTGGAATAGCACTGCACACTTAGGAGAAACCTTAAACCAAAAATACTCTCTTTGCACTGGGGCCACCGCAGAGTAAACAAGCTGCAGCTTGCAGCCCTTGACAATAAACCAGCCATTTTTGCCTATCCAGAGAAACCCCCAGTAGCCTATCAGAAAAGCCTGGTTCTGGGGTTTAGAGCAGGCAGGGAGTGCCTCTAAGCAACAAAAAGGCAACAAATACGTTAACACCAGGAGCTTCTGGTTTCTCTTCATCCAAAACTCAAACAGCTAATTTGGGGAAGGGGGGTGGGTTACATGTGGCTACCCTGATACATCTGCAAAGAAGGCACTGCAAGACAAGCCTTCTCCAGAGTGTGGGAAAGCCTGTCTGCCTTTCAGTTCTAGCTGCTGACCTAGGGATGAAAAAGAAGAGACAGGGCTAGAGTGGCCAGGATGGATGGAATGGCATCACTTAGCTCCTCTGAAGTTCGGTCTGCCTGGGAAAGTTTGCAGAAATGCCCAACACTTTAGAATATTACAAGGGTGTAGGCTACACCCGAAAACCGGGTACCTAACTGGCCCCAGAACGCCTTCCCCCTCTTGGCCTTGCTGGCCTACTAGGCTAATCAGTCTGTCCCTCCATTCTCCTTTTGCCCCAATCACCTAGCTTTCCCCACCTTCACCTCTATGGTCTTTTGTGGGCCCTCTTGTTAACCTTTCCCTCTCCAGCCACACCTACCTTGGGATGCTAGCAAAAAGTGGCACTGATCAAGGAGAGAAGGCTTCCAGAAGGAAGGCAAGCTATTACAATGCATAATATAAACTCAACGTTTTCTCCAAAATGTAAAAAAAAAAAAGTGGATAATCCGTAACATAACAAAATATCTTTCAGTTTTTTGAATGAAGACAGAAAAAATCAGAAATAAGCAGGGGGGATGCAGTAATAATAATGGCCATGAACCATCAGATTTTTGCTTGCATCATCCGTGCGTAGAAGGGAATGCCATACAAGTAACACGACAGTACCTAGTGGTCAAAAGGAGATCTATGGACAAAGTATGCGCCTCTCCACACAGCATTCTTATCACTAGAAAAGCACGTATCATACTGCAAAACTAGCAAGTGATGCACCATACAAAACATGGAGTATTGAAAGCATGGCGGTGGCCTAGAGAGTCAAGTTGGGTGCCACAAATGTGCTTCGATGCCTCGGCTGCCATGCTGCTGGCATTGTGACACCCCACCCGCTGTGGACGCCCATGGGCCTCTCTATCAGCCAACACTTTCCTGGGTTTGCCAACCAATCTATTGGTACAAGGCAGCGATATGGAGAGACCTTTACCCTTGTAAGCTGGGCCTGAAAGGGCATTTTTCTGAAGAGCATTGGTAAGCCTTGGGGAGCCTTTGGAAGGGCTGAGAAGGATCTGCCAGCATCTTTAAAATTTCTTGACTGGCACAGTTCATCCCCACTTCAGCCCCATTCCCTGACATGAAAAACACGTCTAGCCATGGTTTGCCTCCCAGTGGTCAGTTGGCAAACGGTCCTCTATTGCGGATGAGATTTCTCATTTGATGTTTTCGGCCTCAGGGTGATGAGAACTCTGCTGAGAAATCGAGGCAGCATCGTGAACCTATCAACTTCCCATCTTGGAGAAAGTCTTCCAATATGGGCAAATTATGTTTTCTCCTGTGTATGAAAGTCATCTTCAAACATTTCATCTTTGAGCAACACACACCTATCTATTCAGACCGAGGTGGGGACATATTGGACATTTTCCACCACCGACGGAGTTGCACAGGATGTTACTTCTTTGTCTGCCACAGTAATAAACTAAGACCAGAACTCTGGCACGGCCACTGAGCAACAGCCTAGTTAGGGAAAAGGTGACTTTCATTCAAGCCCAGATCCAGCCAGGAAGAGGGCCAAAGGGCATAAACCCGTGCCACAGACTCCCCTGGAAATGTTCCAGAGGATCCAGGAACACTCTCGGTCTGGCCCAAGGCAACAAGGGACCACGCTTCCCCTGCAGCTTTTACAGGAAAATCACCTGCCCCGAAGATCCATGGGCACCTTGTGCAAAAGCCCACCCGTCCCACCCCTGCAGGCAAGGGCATGTGTGCATGTAGGGACGACCTGCACTTTATGACATCATGCAAACAATACGGATTAAGGGCTTGAGGCCTTCTGTGATGCAAAACATACACACTTCATGTCGTATGTGTGACGGCATCGTGCCACGTACTGGATGTCAGGGCTCGTAACTGAGATTGCTGCTTGTGCACTGGATCCAAAGCAGGTGGCAGTGGGGGCTTTACGAAAGGTTTTATGCGGCAACAAGGAGGCCCATGCCGGGTGCCAGAGTAGGTATCTCAAAGCAATGTTTACTTCGTCAGAACCAAAAGCGTCCTCATCACAAGAAGAGAAACCTGAGACGATTCGCTTGCTTAAGGATCCTCCGGCCCCCGCCAAGGCCTTCATTTAACGCCCCCCAACAGGGGCCTTCCATCTTGCCAGCTTCCTACTTCTTTTTCTTCCCTTTCTTTTTCGGAGAGCCAGGCCATGGGAAACCACGGAACTCCAGGCAGGCGGCAGCATTGTGGGCGATGTAGTAGAGGTTGAGCATGGCCGCTGGGCTCAGAATATCCACCTCCACTGGGGCCTTCTTTGATTTCTTCCCACTCTTGCCTTTGCCCTTCCCCTTCCCTTTGCTCTTGCCTCCCTGTGGGGTGGGGGGGAAGCCAGAAACAAAAAATCTGTCTTGCAAGGCACTACCAGGGCACTACCATCTTCCCCAGGAATCTGACAGCCGCCACCTGTTCATCTGGAGATTACTCCATTGCCTGAGGCAGCCTCTCCCAACCTGGTATCCCACAGGCAGATTGGCTTGAGGTGATGTGACCCAACCTATTGAGGGCAAAAGACTGTGGGAAGCTGGCCTTGAACTGCAGAGTCAGCCAGTTAGATCAGTTTAATTGGATGCTCTTCTTCATGGCCACATTCCCCAGCGTTGTTCTCTCTGGAGAGACATCCCTTTAGCGAATGACATCGCCCTCATGGGGAGCGTCAACCACCAAGATAGAAGAGCATGAACATCACACCACCACACTCCTGGGGCTCTTTTGGCCAAACTAGGTCCCATTCTGCCTACTGCTGGGGCAGGCATGGGTTCACAGGGCCACAACAGCAGCCTATGAAAGGAGCATGAGAATCCTAAATTAATCCAGAATTAATGAAGGGTCATGGACAAATACGTCTGGGATTTTGCTGGGTTCTCCCTCACTCAGCAGCAACCAACAGCAATCTTATGTGCCTATTCTATGGCTGAAGCACGGGGGAGGTATACATTACCATAGTGTCATCCTTTTACTGAAATGAGCTGGTGGCCATTGTGTCAAAGCAATACCATTATGTTGGATTCCAAACACAGTATCTGCAATGTTAAAAAAAAAAAACACGGGTAAGCCAATACATGGTAGAAAAATAACAACACAGTTTCTGATACCAGAGGACTGCAATACACCTTCCAGAAAATTGCAGGTTCCCCCATGCACAAAGTCATTGCTTTCTACGTCATACAGATAGTCATTGCCTCTGTGCATGACATTTGCCAAGAGAACTTTAAATGCTCAGCCGATCAAACTTCTGAATTCTTAGAAGCTGTAGCCTCTTGTAGCCCCCGCCAGTGTTCATGCAATACACTTGAGTTGGTTACAAACCTAGTCATTGTGTTTCCACAACATGCAAAGCTTGGTTAGCTTTTTGTGGTTTAAAATCCAGGCTGCGTGAGTAATTATGATCCCATGTATTCTGCAAACCAAGAACACGGGTTAATTCAGCAACTGGATTAAGCATGTTGTGGAATATATCAAACTGTGGTGACAGAAATTCTGATCCTTGGCACAGAGCGCCATGTTGAATAAGAGTCTGAGATGCACCTGAGAAGAGTAGTCTCACTCCAGATTATTTATGATCCAGTTCTTGCTCTCTCATCTCTCCCCAGGAACTGCCTACTTTATTTAGGAAATGCTGTGCCTAAATGGAAGGATGGCTGTGTCCTAGAAGCCCCTGTAAATAATTGCATCAATGACAAACGAGCAAAACACTTTACGCAGCACTGAAAGAGTCACTTGTTTTCTGTAAATAAATATGCACGTTCTGGGGCACACACTTGCCACACTAGCAGAACACTCTGTAACTCTCTAGTGCAGTGTTGTCCAAACTTGGCCACTTTAAGATGAGTGGACTTCAACTCCCAGAATTCCCCAGCTGGCCACTCATCTTAAAGTGGCCAAGTTTGGACAACACTGCTCTACTGCAACTGCCCACTGAGCCACAGATCCAAATTTTGCTGAGTAGCAATGTGAGGAAAATTCCCTCAAACAATTATGGCTTCTTTTTTTTTTTGTGGGGTTTGAACACACCCTAAAAACAGCGGGCAGAGAGACACAAAAATTATTTTTGTT